GACAAGGTGTCAAATCACCCCCGGGGGGATTGCCATGCTCCAATCCCTTCTCCATTCTCCTCCTGGGATCTTGGGCATGCATGGGCACGTGCCCAGCATGAGTTTCAAGCCACTGGGGCCTGGACTTAAACCACAGTTGGCCATGTGTGAGTCCAGTGACATAACTGCTACACCATCTGCTGGCTCCGCAGGGGGTTCTTTTGATCGGGTGCCTGGAAAGGCCCCAGTAAGGTGGTTTCACATGTGCTTAAACCAAAGTAAGAAGAAACGGTTGTTTCTGGGAAGCTAGGGGACAGGTATCCAGACCGCGGCACTTGGGAGGGAAGGCCCTGCAGCCAGAATAAATTTTCTGTGTTCATAAAACAGGAAGAAGGTCCAGAGTGTCTACAGCAGGGTTGCTGGAGGCAGAGGTGGAGGGGCAGCCCTTCAGGCTCTATTCCTGGCCTCGATGACCATGTCACATGCCGGGAACTGGGGCACAAATTTGGAGAAGGCTTAGCTCTGCCTCCAGGGGCCATGGGTAGCTGGAAGACAACGCACCTGCTCACAAAGTAAAGCTCAGTGTTTCCCATGACATGAACTGAGCACCACAGCTTCCTGATCTGGAAGCAGACTCCCTGGGTCCTCTCGAATATCAAGGCCACATTATTCTGTGCTAGTCCATGGAGTTGCCCTATCAAAACTCAACCTAAGTTCTGTATAGTTCTCAGACCTTTTATTTTTAACTCATCCCAGAAAAACACCATTCAGTCACAAAGCCTACCATCTAGACACATGACAGAAGGCACAGTTCAGCCTCTGACAGTCACCAGATGACCCCCAGGAAATCATTCACTTCACCAGTTGCTGCCTTATTCGGGATATCTCTGAAATAGGAAATGCACACACTGGTATTGCTGAGTGACTGCCAGTGCTTAGTGAAGGTCCCTAAGGAATGACACCTGCGTACCTAGGTATCACAGGTCCTAATCTAGCCAGTCACTGAAACCTGACAGCTTCCATCCAGGAGCAAGCACAGCCCAGGCCTCAGGGAGCCTCCACCCCAACAGAGGGCACTATGGCGTGGCCAGCACACAGCTGGATCCACAGGGGATCATCTACGCGTTCATGACAGCGAGCACAATCAGCCTCATCCCCTTGATTAGCTCCTTGACTGTACTAGGCTTTTTGAGTTAAGACTCAATTCCCCCAAAATGAAGTACAAACCTCATGCCTTTCCACACACCCAGTTCAGTGACTTTCCTGAAAGAACTACTCAATAAATCTCTGTTGGTCCACCGTAGTTCCATTTAAAACACAATGCTAAGGACCTGTGGTAAGGAGACTAACTGACCACAGCTGGGGGATATTTTGGTCTTGTCTCCATTCACTTCATTTACTCAGCAAACATCTGTGAGCACAGATCTTGCCAGATCCTTGCCTTCCAACACCTGCTCACTAGTCCACCTGGAAAAGAAGGTAGACCATTAAAGAACACTGCAAAGCAGCCTCAGCCAAAATAAGTGGGCAAAACTCAGGAACAATGAGAATTTAGGGGAGCACGGAATTCACTGGTTCTGAATAGTCCTGGAAAAGACCGGGGTGCAAAGTCATGCAGTGAAGTCCCCAGCCCTCCCTGCTACCATGAGCGTTTACGTAAGTTCTCCTCTCTGGGCCTCAGCTTCCTCATCGATAAAACAGGAAATCATTAAGTCTGTTTCTGTTTCAGATACTTATAAAGATGAAATATTATGTATATAAAATGTTTAACATGGTAACTGCTGAGTAATTGATCGTATTATTCATTTTATGAACATTATTATAACTAGTACGTCATCATCTGGCTTCCATGCTCCTTACTGGTGCCACCTCAATCGAATAATGTAAACGGCCTATGCCTTGGCTTCCTCATCGATAAAACAGGGCAGCTACATCATAGGTGACCACTAAGGTCCAATGTTAATGTCACGAGCCTGGATGATGAGTCAGGCGCTCCTCAGAGCACTCCGGTATTCCCTACCGCACAGCGAGCACTCGATAAATCTGGGCTAACTGTATTATCATTATAGATTCGGTTTTATGTAACTTCACCCTTTTGGACAAAGGCATACACAAAATTGGCAGAAGGGCACGGAGAGTGGGACACTGCAAACTGTTGGCAAGTCTTCTCAGGTTGTCAATGCTGTGGTTGGTGAAAAGTGTCCTGACACCTCCTCGAGGACCATTAGAGCTCACTGGATAAAATTAAACATTTTAAAAAACTTTTCTCACATTCGAATCTGCTGCTGAAGCATTTATTCTTGGGGGACTAGAAAAGATCCTTTAAAAACGATACTGGTGAGAACAAAGCAGAATAAAATGAAATCAGAGCAAAATGTCCTCTGCTGGTTATGAAGAAAACTACAAGCCTTGCCATCGTCACCCACAGCAGGTGGGCAGGGTGGCCCTCCCGGGCAGAGCAGAGGTGCTCAGGCCTCCCTAGTTGTGGCTCCTTGTAGCTTGGCCACACTATTAACCAAAACTGGGGGTATAGGGAGGGAAGAAGGGAGAGTGAGAGGGGGGAAAGAGGAAAATAACTCAGAACTCTGAACTATTAGATTGTTGTGACTTAGAATCAGGTTATGAGATAATTTAGCAATTTTTATGCAAACAAAATACATCCTGAAATTCCCACTTGCCTCTCTGCACACAGAATTAGAAAACACTGTTTTACATTGCACGCCCCCAGTGAGGCCCTTCCCTGCTCCAATGCCTTAGAGTCTGTGAAAGGCAAGGGTAACCTGCGAGGTACGGGCATGCTCTTACATGTAGCCTGTCCCACCTGATGGCTGATGGAGGTCACACCTGATCCTGCCCATGGCCAATGGTTGGAAGTAGTCAGAGCTTAGCTCATCTCTTCGTGCCTGGAGAGCTCCGTCCACCCACCCTGGGGGGTCTTCCTCTTGCCCTGAGACAGCCACACAATGCCCCAAGGTGCTCCTGGAGGGCCTGTGCACGTGATGGCTGGGTAGGGGCCAACTCAGGGGTCTAGAAAGGGAGCTTCATGATGTCCCCCTTCCTCCAACTATACCCAAACTTGACCACTGTGTTGACAGCAAATGTGAAAATGCAAACATCAGTGTCTAGAAGAGACAGAAAGAGGGACCCCCAGAGTGAGGCAGAAAAAAAGGAAGCATGGAAGGAAAGACAAAGAAAGAGAAGCCAGTCAGAAGTAGGTGATAATGTGGTTTTAACGGGAAGCTGTTCCTGTCCTGTGGCTCAGGGTCTGCTGAATGCAACCATCTCCGGAGAGACCTGGGCAGCTCTGAGTCACTCTAAACCCTGCATGTTTCCCATAAGTAAAGACCACCTCGCTTGCTGTCAATCTCTAAATCTCTACAGAGATGACTACCTTCCACCTCCTTGGGGGGAATCATCTCATTTGTATCTAGAATGTTCCCCACATGAGTCTGTCTCTATGTTGTCACAGGAAGGCTCCTCCTTGTGGCCAAGCCTTAGGAACAGAGGGGGCATTCGGAGAACGTGAAATGTCACTGACTATATTACTTGAGAGGTTCATTTTCGTTCTCCTATTTAAGTAGTCTGAAATCACTGCATACTTCTCATTTCCACACAAATCCCTTTGTAAAGGAGATGCATGATCATTTCAGAGTGGGAGCTGCCAGTTGTTTTTGCTTTTGTCCAAAGCAGTCCCTGAAGAGCTCAGTGGAAGAGATGAGTTTCATGAACCCATGAGGACCTAGGAGTTCACTGGGGCCATGAGGGTTAGCTCCCCATGACGAAGGATCCAGGACGCTACGGCCCTACGTGGGGCCCTGCTTGGTCAGCTCTGGGTGGAGCACGGCCTGGGCATTGTCTGTCCCATGGGAACTGCACACAGAGTCCAGGAACTCAGAACAGTCTCGGGCAGTGGCCGGGGGCGAGGCAGAGGATACCAGTACTAAGGTTACCTTTCCAAGTATAGTCATGCACAAAGAAAGAGAATCCCGCCATGCTGCCCTGTGGTTAGTTCTGGTGCCCATTAGGGGAACTTCCTTTGAGAAGGCACACTACCAAAGAGTAGAGAAATGGTCCCCACCGTCTTCACTGCTGCCTCAACTCATTCTCCTATCAAATTCCAGAGAGTCGAATGGATTATTGCAATCATTCGGTGTGGTGGCCTCTGCCAGTGGTCTGCCCTGTGGACCCTGGAAATGGAGTCAGCGTTTCCATAGGGAAGGTAGGTACTCATCTTCTCGCCTTACACAAAGCCTGATGGAGGTTCTTCGTGTCCTCCTAGTTTCTGTCTGCCTGAACCCAGTCAGGGCTCAATCTGGACCTACCACAGGCTGAACCCAGTATCTGCTCAGAAGTGAGTTTGGCATCCACCGCCTTGGGGGTCAGCAGAGACAGAGCACAGCAGCCCACCGGGGTTCACAGGTAAATCAGACCAGGGGACTCTGGCCTCAGAAGGCCACACTCAGACAGGAGGAAGCACTGCCCTCTGCCCACGCGCTCTGCCTGAAGGCGCCCCAGGGAAGCCGGGGCATGGTCAGGCCCAGGACCAAATAGCAGCTCTGCCAGAGTCCAGGAGCTGGGGTTGGCAACTCCCAGAGGTATGAACAGAGTGCCAGGCATTTGTGCCCAGCCTGACTCCTCCTTCGGGACTCATTAACTTCGAAGATGGTCCACGCTGAGCCCCAGCCAGGCCCGAGTCACCACCACAGCCACCAGGATCAGACACATAGCGCTAGGGCCCCTGCCCTGTCTCAGCGACTCAGAGGCCCAGCCGGCCTTCACCATCAAGTCCCGCGCCAAGGGGGCAGTTTTGGGGAGAAACAGCTGGCCTTCACTCCCTCCGAACGTTTCCCTATGACGGCCACGTACCCGGGCAGAGCACCGAGCTCATCCACGAACCGTGCGGCCCTGGGAGCCAGCAACCTTTCTTCGCCAGCCGCGCTTGGGTGCACACACCTGCGCCCCTGTCCCTCGCCCCCTCCCCACACACATTATCAATTCGTAGAAGAATGGCAGCTCCCTACCTGAGGGTGGCGCTCTCCCCCTGCCGGACCGTCACGTTGTCCATGGCTTTGGGGAAGGTGGCATCTCCGCTGCGCACGGGCACTCCTGTGGGTACAAGGAACAGCAGCCTGAGAGACACGACCACGAGGCACTTCCAGGGCAGGAGCAGGTACCCACAGACCCCCATCCTCGACAGCCACAACTTCCCAGAACTCCGGCAGCTGCACGGCACACGCCCCCCGGGCGAGCACAGGAAGTGGGTGGGGTGGGGAGCGAGCGCGGGGACCCAGCGGTGAACTAGCAGCGACCGCCAGGCGCGGGGAGAAGAGCGCGCAGACTCCTCCAAGTCCAATATTCCCCCAGGTTCAGCCTCAGCTCCCAGCGTCGGAGAACCGGCTTCCACGGAGGAGGACGTTCAAGAGGAGCTTTCTCCGTCCTGCTTCGGCCGGAGAAGGTGGCCGAGGAATGGGGAGCGCAAGGCAGGTGCAAAGGTGTGGGCACGTTCAGAAGCCGCTTCTTCCCAGGAACAGTTCAGACATGGCACTTTGGAGAGGACTAAGCACTTTGGTACCAGAAGGGGACGGGGTGGGTTTCATCCAGCTACCCAGAGGCGGTCTGCAGTCCCTCAGTTCCAACCAGGGGCTATCCAACACTTTGTAAGTTTCCGAGCAAGGTTCGCCCGCAGAAAACAATCTGGAACAATAGCAGATGAAAAGTAGAGCACGCAGGAGCTGCGGGGCGGTGCGCGGAGGAGACGGCAACGCCGGCTTGGAGGACCCGCCCGGCCCGGGATCCTGTCGCAGCCGCCTCGGTCAACTTGCTCAGAGCCCAAATGCGCGCTGCCTCTGCCGCGAGGCCGCGGGGCTCGGCGG